CGGCTTAGGCTGATCTTCCACATCAGAAAAAAGTTCATTGGGATAATTGGCATTCCGCATTGACAACTATTAAATAGAATTTGTAGAAGAAATGGCAGACGCAACAAAAACATCCACATCGTCATCAACAGCTGTGACAAATGTTAGATTTGCAGTGGAGATTTTTGATGGCACCGGTCATTTCGGCATGTGGCAAAGTGAGGTTCTAGATGCCCTATTTCAACAGGGTCTAGACATTGCTATTGAAGGAGAGAAACTAGATGATGTTGAGGAGAGAGAATGGAATTGGCATGTGGTACTATTCGATTGTGTCTTTCTAGAGAGCAGAAGTATGCATTTTCTAAGGAAACTTCTGCAAGTAAATTGTGGAAGGCACTGGAGGAGAAATTTTTGAAGAAAAGCGGTCAAACAAGCTCTACATGAAAAAGATATTGTTCCACTTGAACTATGTACCAGGTACCACTATGAATGATCACATTACTAGCTTTAATCAGCTGGTGACTGATCTGATGAATATGGACGTGACTTTTGAAGACGAAGATCTGGCTCTGATGTTGATGGGATCACTTCTTGATGAGTTTGAGTATCTTGAAACTACTCTACTTCATGGGAAAGTTGATGTATCTCTCAGTGAAGTAACTAATGCCTTGTATAGTTATGAATTGAGAAGGAAAGACAAACAAGAAAACACAAGTGTCGAAGCAGAAGCTCTTGTTGTTAGAGGCCGTTCGAAGAGTCAGAATAAAGGAAGGAGAGGGAGATCAAAGTCAAAGTCCAGATTGAGCAAAGATGAATGTGCCTTTTGTCGAGAAAAAGGGCACTGGAAGAAAGAATGTCCCAGGCTAAAGAACAAAGGGAAACCTGAAAGGGGAAAGGCTGTCTCAGAATCAAATGTGGTCGAGTATGATGATGCAGATTCAGATTTTGCATTCGCTGCTACGCCATCAACCAGCTGTTCCAGTTCATGGCTGTTAGATTCAGCTTGTAGCCACCATATGACCCCCAATAGAGAATGGTTCTTTGATTTTAAAGAACTAAAAGGTGGAATTGTCTACACAACAAATAATTCCTCTCTTGACACACTTGGGATTGGTTCAATTCGCTTGAGGAATCAGGATGGATCAATCAGAACCTTAACAAGTGTCCATTATGTACCAGATTTAATGAGAAATCTCATCTCTGTGGGAACCTTAGAAACAAAAAGTTTAGAAGTGAGGGCAAAAGATGGGATTATGAGGATTATCTCTGGTGCACTGGTGATAATGAAGGGAATCCGGAAAAGAAACAATGTGTATTACTTTCTGGGTAGTACAATTGTTAGGACAGCAGCAGTGGCAGCTTCTACTGATGAACAGGAGTCAGAAGCAACCAGGTTATGGCATATGCGCTTGGGGCATGTTGGTGAAAAATTCTTGAAATTGCTGATAGATCAAGGATTATTGAAGGGTGCTCGGGCTTGCAAATTAGCTTTTTGTGAGCATTGCATCAAAGGGAAGAAGACGAGGGTGAAATTTGGAACAACAATCCATAATACTAAAGGTATTTTGGATTATGTTCATTCAGATGTATGGGGGCCTTCCAAGACAACTTCATTTGGAGGAACACACTATTATGTCACCTTTGTCGATGATTTTTCCCGGAGAGTTTGGGTGTATACAATGAAGACAAAGGATGAGTGTTAGGATTTTTCCTTAAATGGAAAAAATGGTGGAGACTTAAACAGGCAGAAAAATCAAACGTCTCCGTACAGACAATGGTGGAGAGTACAAAAATGATCCATTTCTGAAAGTCTGTGAAGAAGAAGGTATTGTCAGGCATTTCACTGTCAGATCTACACCACAACAGAATGGGTGGCAGAGCGTATGAACCGGACATTAGTGGAGAAGGTTCGGTGTATGTTGTCTAATGCCGGGTTAGGCAAAGAATTTGGGCTGAGGCTTTGGTCTATGCTTGCCACCTTGTCAACCGCTTACCATCGACTGCTATTGGTGGTAAAACACCATTAGAGAAATGGTTTGGATAACCTGCTACAGATTATGATTCCTTACATGTGTTTGGTTCCATTGCATACTACCATGTTAAGGAGTCAAAGCTGGATCCAAGAGCAAACAAGGCGATCTTTATGGGGATCACCTCTGGTGTGAAAGGCTATCGTCTTTGGTGTCCAGAAACAAAAAAATAATCTTTAGCAGGGATGTTACCTTTGATGAATCTACCATGTTGAGAAAGGTGACTTCATAAAATTTGGAACAGACAGATGGAACTCTCAAACAGGTGGAGTTTGAAGGAAGCAGAATTGACCCCAGCCAGTAAAGATACTGATGTTGACTCTCCTATGGTAGAAGAAGAGTCAAATAAAGAAGAGGTTCAGACCCAAGAACCTCCACAGCAACATGAATCTATTGCACTCAGAAAGGGAAAGAGGACCATTAGACAACCTGCTCGTTATGCTGATATGGTCTCTTTTGCATCACCAATTGCAATTGATGACGTTCCTGCCACTTTTAATGAAGAAGTCCAAAGTTCAGAACATAAAAAGTGGAGGATCGCCATGAATGAAGAAATGCAATCCCTTCAAAAGAATCAGACGTGGAAACTAGCTAGTCTTCCGAAGGGAAAGAAGGCAATTGGGTGCAAGTGGGTATATGCAAAGAAAGATGGATTTCCTGACAAGAATAACATCCGCTACAAAGCAAGATTGGTGGCTAAAGGATACGCTCAAACGAAGGGAGTTGATTATAATGAAGTATTTTCTCCAGTTATAAAACATTCCTCCATCAGAATTTTGTTGGCTTTGGTAGCACAGTTGGATTTGGAACTAGTTCAGATGGATGTAAAAACTGTATTTTTACATGGAGACTTGGATGAGGAAATCTACATGACACAGCCAGATGGATTCAAAGTTGCTGAAAAAGAAGAGATGGTGTGCAAATTAGAAAAATCGCTATACGGATTGAAGCAATCTCCAAGGCAGTGGTACAAGCGATTTGACAAGTTTATGATAGGGCAGAAGTACACAAGAAGCAAATATGATCATTGTGTGTATTTACGCAAGCTACAAGACGGATCCTATATATATCTTCTTCTTTATGTTGATGATATGCTGATAGCTTCCAGGAGTCAGACAGAAATTGCAAAACTAAAGAATCAATTGAACAGGGAGTTTGAGATTAAGGATCTTGGTGAAGCAAAGAAGATTCTAGGCATAGAGATATCAAGGGATAAGAAATTGGGGAGGCTTTGTTTGTCTCAGAAAGAATATCTGAGGAAGGTACTAAAACTTTTTGGCATGAATGAGAAGTCAAAACCAGTTAGTACACCTCTTGCTCCTCATTTCAAGCTCGGTGCATCCATGCCTAAGGATGATGCAGAACGGGAATACATGTCAAAGGTTCCATATGCAAGTGTTGTTGGTAGCTTGATGTATGCAATGGTGTGTACGAGACCCGATATTTCACAGGCAGTTGGGGTTGTGAGCAGGTATATGGATGATCCTAGAAAGGAGCATTGGCAAGCTGTGAAATGGATTCTGCGGTATATTCTGAACACCGTAGATGTTGGTTTGGTCTTTCAGCAAGACAAACAAGATGGTCAATGTGTAGTTGGGTATTGTGATTCAGACTATGCAGGTGATTTTGACAAGCGTCGATCAACTACTGGTTATGTGTTTACTTTTGCAATGGCACCAGTCAGTTGGAAGTCCACCTTACAGTCAATAGTGGCTTTGTCTACTACAGAGGCAGAGTATATGGCAGTTACAGAGGCTGTGAAGGAGGCAATTTGGCTTCAAGGGTTGCTTGGTAAATTGGGAATGTAACAGAAGCACATGAAAGTGCATTGTGACAGTCAGAGTGTTATTCATTTAGCAAAGAACCAGGTTTACCATGCAAGGACGAAGCACATCGATGTTCGATATCACTTTGTACGAGAGATTCTAGAAGAAGGTGGAGTCATAATCCAGAAGATTCGGACCACTGAGAATCCTGCTGATATGTTGACAAAAGTGGTAACTGCGGTCAAGTTTAAACATTGTTTAGAATTGGTCAATATTGTTATAAATTGAAAGATGAATTTGCAGACACTATTGAAGATTGGATTTTTTTGAGAGACGTGTGTGGAATTTGCCAAGGTGGAGATTTGTTGGTTTTTGGCAAATATCCCACATTGGTTTTGTATAAGGAGGAGGGGAAATTCTTTTGTTATAAATAGAGCCCTTCTCCTCCTTAGTTAAGTATCCCACAAATATAAGCCTTCTTCACTATTAAAGGCTATTTGTACTCTTTCTCTCTTTGTAATATTTCCTCTACTAGTGAAATATTATTTTAGTAGTGTCTGAGGAGGTAGGCATAATTTTGGCCTAACCTCGTTAAATTTTGGTGTTCTCTTTATGTCTATTTAATAGCTATTGTCGGGTATAGTTGTTGTTAATTATTGTCCTATTAAAATTACTTATCTTGGTAGTTTGTCTAAGGAAAGTGGGTTTTAAGAGGGACCATTGTGACCCCTCCTCTTTCCTGTGAATCTACCTTGGGGTGATTTTTAGTACAATTGTTTTCACACTAATCACCTAGATAATAATTTTCAAGATGAATTTGTTATTATTGGTGGAAATCAACCCGAATTCCACAACACCTTTGACCTTACTTAAGGGACCTAGTGCCTTATCCTAATAGACCAACTGATTATTGATATTGGAAACATACTTTAGTTTGAAGACTTCAATTGAAATGTTTTGCAGTTTAGATACTAATTTAATATTCGAGCCATAATTTGAGGACTTGAAATTAACCATTTACCTTTTGTAAAATGTTTTTGAGGGGAAAAGGGGTTGCAGATAGGGGTTACGTATTGTCGTGTAGACGGGCCATTTAGGGTTTGAGTAGTAGCATTCCAAACCTGCTTTTTAACTTTGTCATGGTTTATCTTGTTTTGTTTGGGTAACATGAAGTCACGTGAATGCCTTTCTGGCCTCTTCTTTTAAGCCCTTCATGGTTCCTTTATAAAGACCCTTAAACTCCATTAACTAGGACCATTTGCCCTTTTCTCTCTCTCTCTCATCTCTTGGAAATGACACCACTCTATGATGATCTTAACCCACCACCAACCCCAAATTTTCCCTTTGTGGATCTAAAAGAAGAACCCCGTGATCTTCAACTCTTTCTCTCCGTAACCGAACAACAAGCCACTTCTCACAAGGCAAGAGCCCTAACATAAATTTTCCTTTTAATTGTGCTTAAATAATCCACCCTTAGGGTTTTTTTGTTTGTCCGACATCAAAACTTCTGATCCTCATGTTATGTTGTTTTTTGGTATTTTTTTGGTGTTTGTGTTTGCATTTTATGTGATTTTGATAGTTTTAGGTTCATTTAGGTGCCTTTTGGTACATGTAATTTATGTGGATGTAAACGTTTGATGATCTTATCTCTTTGATTATCATATTTCTTTAGGTTAAAAAGCATGATGGTGGATCAAGCGATCAACAAGCAAGTTCATCATCGTCATCTTCTTCTTCACTTCAATCCACGGGGGATCACAGGACAATCGATGGCCGGAATTCATCCTTTGGGGATTATGGAAGTGCAGGAGATCATAATGGGATATCAGTGAGATGGATGTCCTCCAACATGAGGCTGATGAAGAAGATGATGAACTCCAACTGCAGCAATGGATCAACAGATCACCGTAAAGCAATTAAATTTACAGACAAGCTTCGACGTCGAGTGGATGATAACGGCGAAACCGACTACTCTTTGGGTAAAGCCAATAATAACGCCGTTAGAGTCTGCTCCGACTGTAACACAACGACGACACCTCTTTGGAGAAGTGGCCCTCGAGGTCCCAAAGTAAGTAGTACTATATAATTCAGGTCAAATTCTTTTATTAGTCCCATACCGTGCATAACTTACGGATTTAGTCCATATACTCTAATTCGATCATTTTTAATCCTATACTTTTTTAAATTTTTAAATTTTGATTCTTACTTGAACAATATTCATTGAATCTATTCTGTCAAATTATGTTATTAGTCCATGTTTTATGCTCCAATTCGAACATTCTAAGTCTATGTAATTTAATTATTCGGTAAGTCTATGTAATTTAATCTTATTGTCCTTGTATCATTTATATCATGACTGAAAGTTATGAATTCAAAAAATACAGTGTCTAAAGTTGATTAAATTATAGTATAGAAATTAAATACGCAACTTATGCAAGGTAAATAGACTAGTAACAGAATAAAACCTGTAATCTATGTATATGATTAATTATGGTTATAGTCCTCATTCAAAATTCAACTTGAATGCTTAGTCGACTATTTTTAACAGTGTTAGTGATTTGAACTAAAGCGTAACGGTTGTAAAACGAGATTATAGGGACTAAATCCCAAAACTGAGTATAGTACAAGGATGAAAATCAGAAATTAATTAAGATGTGAAAACTTTTGTGCAGTCTCTTTGCAATGCTTGTGGGATTCGACAAAGGAAGGCACGGCGAGCAATGGAAGCGGCTGCGGCGGAAACCGCCGCCGGAGTTGCAACCGGTGCAGCAATATCGCTGAAGATTAAGGTGCAGAACAACAAGGAAAAGAAATCACGAATTGGGCAATTCAGAAAACAATTATTCAAGTCACCTTCGGATCATAATTCTCATTGTAATCATCAACAAATCCAAAAGAAGCTTTGCTTCGAGGAATTTGCTTTGAGTTTGAGCAAGAACTCAGCTTTGCAGCGTGTGTTTCCTCAGGACGTTGAAGATGCTGCGATTCTCCTAATGGAGCTCTCCTGTGGACTTATTCATGGTTGAATTGATGTTTTGGTCACTAAATAATTTTTTTGAACTAGTTTTTGTTTTTGTTTTGTGTGACCCAAGGGATAGAGATTAAAGAGTGATTAGTTCTATTTATGTATCCAAATCAAAGTGATTCTCAGCTTATATGAAATAATGAAAATTTATAACATCTTATTCATTTTATAACATAATTATAAATATTCATATTTGGTTATTTTGTATATAAAATTATAAAAATATATATATTTATTTACAATCTATTTAATTATTATTAATGAACATATTTTTATCATATAACATTATATATAAAATAGTTATATTTATATGTTAAATAATTATTTAATATATTGGTGATAAAATGTTTTTCATAGGTAATTATAATCTATTATAATGTGACATTAATAATTTATTTTAAGATTTTTTAAAGATATATAATAAAACAAATTAAAAATCTTTGTAAAGATCATTAATTAAATAATGAATTTTTCTTATATATAATTATATAACAAGTTAAATATAATTATTATAATCAATTAATACAAATAAGAAAGAAAGAAAAAAACATAAATGAAATATCTCTCCATGTAGCACATATCCTTCAATTATGATAGCATGCTATGTGTCAATTGTTTTTCTTTAATGAATCAACCTTTCCTTTTCATATTCACTTCTGTGTTAGGTAAGATCTTCTCAACTCACCTTTACTGAGTGTTGATGTAATTTTCAGAAGCCACTATTAATTATATTACATTGGAAGTTAGATTATGAAAAATATTCATACATGATGGAATTAAATTTCAAACAAGAAATGAAAACATAAAAATATTAATATTAGAGCTAGTTTAATATTATTTTTAACAATATCCATAAAAATATTATTTTTGAGAAATATAAATTTTATATTTTCAGAGATCATTTTTAAAAATTGTAAGTTCTCCGTTAATCGAGATTTTCGGATTGATTTTTCATTTATCAAAGTTTTTAAGGAATCCATATATTTTGGATACAAGAGTTTCATTACCTCCGAACCAACTATAGTACATATACAAGACATATCTATCATGTTTACATGTTCCATCAAAGCAGAATTCAAGATATGATAATCATATCTATTTAGTTTGTTGGCATACAAGTAATTATAATTATCTTATGTCTAACACCATCAACTAAAATTATTATAAATATTTATCAATCACGAGTGAGAGGATCCTCTTCCTCTCCACTTTCTTCTTCTTCTCCATTTTTTTTTTCCTTTATTCTTTCATCTTTTTCACAGAGCAAAATCGATCGCTACTTTACTTACTAAGACTCTTTATCATTGATAGATGTAAAATGGGATCCAGAAAGAACAAATGTCCATCATAAAATTTTATTTGTGTATATCATATAAAAAAAATTGTATTAATATATATATATACTCATCTTCAAAAATATTTTTAAATTCGTTACTACTCATTTAAGTAAAACACGAATAATTAATTATTGGCTAAACAAATTTTTTCGCATATGGTGAAAAATATTTTCATTTATAATTTATGTATTTAAAATTGATGTTAAAAATGTACTTTTCAAAGTAGATACACCACTCAGTGAGTCGTAAATAAAAGCTCGAGCCAAAACATTCTAGCGCACTGACTGGATTTTTCTTCTTTTTTCCTGTTTTTGCCTAAACAAATGTGTAATATTCGATGATCAAAGCATTAAACTTCCAAAAATGATTAAAATAATCAATTAAGTCTCGACCGTCCAATTTCAATCAAAGGGTCCAAATTGTACCGACTGATTCCGGATCTATCCCCGAAAAGGTAAGAACAAATTCTGATGATGTTCTTATCAGTTTGGTCACACGTACCGTTACAACTTCATATCTATCCCATATTTTCCTTTTTTCCAAATATAACCTTCACCAAATCAATGGATCTCTTTCGTTCCTAGACCAGAAGGGGAATTTCACATCAATACTTTCTCCCACTAATATAATCATAGATAAAAATGAAAAATAGATTTAAAATTCAGATTTTTTTGAATTTTCCTATATATATATATATATATATTACTACCTATATTTAAAATTTATAATTACCTTTTTTAAGATTGTCATTTTTAAAATTCAAACATACATTAACATTTATTTAAAATCTTTTTACCCACAATAATCATATTTATATATGTTTTTAGAGTAAACTATTTCAAACCCCGCTCAATTTTAAGATTAATATTAATGATAAATTTTCATTTGTTTTCAAATATTAAAAGTCATATTAATAAAAAATACTATAAACGTATAAGATTAAAAATATTTTTAATATCTATTAAATCAATAATTATTAGTAAATATGAATAGAAATTAAGAGAGATCTAGATTTTCTAATAAAAAAATAATAGAGACCCGATCCTAAAATGTAAATCGAAGATAAATTCTAGTGATAATAACTAATAGTCCATTATACCCTGAGATAGCATTAAGGGATTGATATATTTTAGTGTGATAGGGGCTAAAACTGAAATTATACCATTATTATTATGATTTTATTATATTGCAGTTGCAGGTAGACACAAGTGAGAGGTGGAGGCTGAGGATAAATCATGAATTCAGGATAATGAGAGTGTGAAGCATACATTGCCAACACACAATCCCCAAACTCCATTAACAAAACAAAACAAAACAGAAAAATTACAAAAAGACAAAACAATTGAGCGTTTGCAAATAACTGCTAGCTGGTAATTAATTTTAGTAGTTGGTTTAAACAACTGATTTGATTAGTTTATTTGAGAAAGTTGATTTGATTGATTGTTTATATAAAAGTATTTGGTAAAATTTAACTGGTAGTTAATAATTGACACGAGTAAAATGAAAAATAAGAGTATGATACTTAGTTTCTATTAGAGGTGAAATTATTCAGATGAAATGCTTTTATAAGGAATTAAAAATTCCTTAAGAAAATTAGGGAGTTTTTTTTGAAAATTATGAATAATTTTTTTTAATTTAATTACAAATATTAACCTTGTTTTACTTTCATGTTTGATACATACAATTAATTTTGTATAAAATATAAACACTACATTTTTTTACTTTCATGTTTTACTATATTTTCTTAACTAAAATATATTTGAGAATCTACAACTGAAAAATAAAATAATAAAATAAAATTTCAACTTAAATATATTACGATGAAGGCTATTTTATTATATTAGATTTTATGGTAAGAATGTAATTATGAAAAAAAATAAGGTTAAATATCTCATTTAACATCTTATTTTATAATCAACTTTTTTAAATCGCTTTTCGGGCGTTTTTATTTTCAACTATTTTTCACAATAAACTTTTTCAAAAAGATATTTATCAAACACTAAAAATAAAAAATTGAACTATCAATAAATTATTTATGCTTAAATAAGAGACTTTCTTGAGTATTGTTTGAGCGGAGACTTTGCAGTGAAATATGATTCATTGAATCTCAATCTTTTTCCCTGCAATTGTTGAAAGTTAGTGCAACTTGCACCGAAAGAAGCTAGAATTTATGCACCGAAAATGTGCACATTAAATGCACCGAAAATTGGTTGAAAAATTAAATGGTAAAATCATAATTTTTAGTCATTGTAATTTAGGGTATTTACAAATTAGTCCTTAAGCTTCGACTATAAATACCCTAGCTCATTTAGCTTCAAAACCATCCCAAAGCATTCTAGCTTTCTTCTAATACTAGAGAATTTAGAGAGTTTCTTGAGAGTTATTTTCTCCTTTTTATCAAGAGAGAATTATCATTGTTTTCTCCTTGGTAGATCGAGAGAAGTTGTAATTCCTATTTTCTCACAGTGAAATTCTTCTACCGTTGCCCGTGGTTTTTACCCTATATTATTTATGGGTTTTCCACGTAAATTTTGTGTCTCTTTTAGCTTCATTTTTATTTTGTCAAATTATCAGTTGTGATTTCACTCAATCCAATAGCCGTCTTCCGCAACAATTGGTATCCGAGCCAGATTAGAGTGTGTAATATCTGCTTATTGTCTTTGTGGTTGCCACCAAAAGGTGGATCCTCCAACATAAGAAAGTAAAAAGTTATTACCCATTCTTTAAAGGTTCAAGAGAACTATTCACGATAGTGAAATAGTGGGAGTTATCCGTAAAAGAAGTTATGACAACGAAATTTGATATTGAAAAATTCAATGGGATAAATTTCTCATTGTGGAATTTGAAGATGAAGGACATCCTGAGGAAAGACTGATGTCTAGCAGCTATCAGTGAAAGGCCGGTAGATTTTACAGATGACAACAAATGGATCGAAATGGACGGGAATGTTATGGCAAACTTTCATCTAGCATTAGCAGATGAAGTATTGTCAAGCATCAAGGAGAAGAAGATAGCTAAGGAGATATGAGATCATCTCACCAAACTGTACGAGACCATATCGCTGCACAATAAAATTTTCCTTAAGAGAAAATTATACATTCTCCGTATGCCAGAATCTACTTTAGTGACGGAACACTTAAATACACTGAACACTTTATTTTCTCAGCTTACATTCTTAAGTTGTAAAATAGGAGAACAAGAACGTGTTGAACTTCTACTTCAAAGTCTATAGGATTCATATGATCAACTCATCATCAACTTGACAAACAGTAATGTCACCAGTCTAGTCTTCGATGACGTTGCAGCTGCTATTCTACAAGAAGAAAATCGGTGCAAGTACAAGGAAGAAAGACAAGTAAATCTGCAACAGGCAAAATCGTTGACAACGACGAGTGGGAGATCAACAGAACGTGACCAAAGCAGCAGTCACAAACATGGTAGATCGAAGTCGAGGAACAAGAAGAATTTAAAGTGCTACAACTGTGGAAAGAAGGGTCACTTGAAGAAGGATTATTGGAGTCTAAATAAAAACTCCAATCCACAATGCAATACCGCAAACACTTCAGATGATGAAGATGCTCTATGCTGTGAAGCGTCAACCACCATGGAAGGTAGAAAAAGATTGCAGATATATGGCTCATTGATTCAGGAGCAACATATCACATGACCTCAAGAAGAGAATGGTTCCATCATTATGAACCTGTCTCAGGAGGATCTGTGTATAGTTACAATGATCATGCCTTAGAGATCATTGGTGTGGGAACCATCAAATTGAATATGTATGATGGAACAATTAAAGTTGTTTGAGATGTGCAACACGTGAAAGGTCTGAAGAAAAATTTACTATCCTATGGATTGTTGGATAATAATGCAAGCAAGATTGAAACACAGAAAGGAATCATGAAGGTGTTCCGTGTAGCGCTTGTGGTGCGGAAAGGTGAAAAGATAGCAGCAAACTTGTACATGCTGAAGGGAGAGACTTTGCTATAAGCAGAAGCCTTTGTTTCCTCATGTAGTTCAGATTCTGCAATGCTATTACATCAAAAACTTGGACACATGTAAGAACAAGGAATGATAGTCCTTGTGGAGAAAAAGCTACTTCTAGGCTTAACAAATATATCATTGCCTTTGTGTGAGCATTACATAACAAGTAAGCTGCACCGGTTGAAATTCAACACATCAAATTCTAGAGGCAAAAGTGTTCTAGAATTGGTTCACTCTGACGTATGGCAAGCACCAGTTACATCCCTAGGCGGAGTAAAATACTTTGTCTCATTTATTGATGACTACTCCAGGAGATGTTGGGTGTACCCTATTAAGAAGAAGTCAGATATGTTTTCAACTTTCAGAAACTTCAAAGCGCGAGTGGAACTTGATTCTGGAAACAAGATCAAGTATTTCAGAACAGATAATGGAGGAGAATACACAAGTGAAGAATTTGATGAATTTTGCAGGAAAACAGACATCAAAAGACAATTCACAGTGGAAAACACTCCTTAACAAAATGGAGTGGCAGAGCGGATGAACAGAACCTTGTTAGAAAGAACAAGAGCAATGTTGAGTGATGCAAGCCTAGAAAAATCATTCTGGGCAGAAGTAGTCAATACCACCTGTTATTTGGTGAATCAAACTCCATCAACTACAATAGAGCTGAAGATGCCAATGGAGATGTGGACTGGTAAATCAGTTGATTATTCAAACCTCCATATATTTGGAAGTACTGTGTACGTGATGTACAACTCTCAAGAAATCTCAAAACTGGATCCAAAATCCAGGAAATGCAAATTCTTGGGGTATGCTGATGGTGTAAAGGGGTATCGCTTGTGGGATCTCACTGCCCGCAAAGTGATCATCAACAGAGATGTTATCTTTGTAGAAGATAAACTACAAAGAAAAGAAGAAGATGGTAGCGTTGAAAAGTCAGAGACTACACAAATACATGTGGAAAAGGATGTTGAACAAGGAGATTCTTCTGAAGCAGAACCAGCATATGATGAACAAGAACCAGAGAGTTCTGAAGCTCCAACAACTCGTCAATCAGATCGTGTGAGAAGACGTCCCAATTGGCACTCAGATTATGTTATAGAAGAAAATATTGCATACTGCCTTTTAACAGAGGACGGTGAGCCATCAACATACCAAGAGGCAATAAACAGCTCAGATGCTTCACTATGGATGATGGCGATGCAAGAAGAAATCGAAGCTCTTCATAAAAATAATACATGGGACCTTGTGCCACTATCACAAGGAAGAAAGCCAACTGGTAACAAATGGGTCTTCAAAATCAAGCGAAATGGTGACGATCAAGTTGAGAGGTATCGTGCAAGACTGGTGGTCAAAGGATATGCTAAAAAAGAAGGTATTGATTTCAATGAAATATTTTCTCCCGTGGTTCGACTAACAACAGTTCAAGTAGTTTTGGCAATGTGTGCTACATTGAACTTACATCTAGAGCAACTAGATGTTAAAACATCTTTTCTTCATGGAAATCTTGAATAAGAGATTTACATGCTCCAGCCTGAAGGTTTTGAAGAAAAAGAAAAGAAGAATTTGGTTTGCAGGTTGAACAAATCTCTATATGGTCTAAAGCAAACGCCGAGGTGTTGGTATAAGAGATTTGATTCCTTCATTATGTGCCTTGGATACAACAGACTTAATGCAGACCCTTGTGCTTATTTCAAGAGGTCTGGTGATAACGATTTTGTTATATTGCTGTTGTATGTGGATGACATGTTGGTTGCAGGACCCAACAAAGATCATATTGAAGAATTGAAGGCAAAACTGGCTAGGGAATTTGAAATAAAGGACTTGGGATCAGCAAACAAGATTCTAGGGATGCAAATTCACCGAGACAAAAGTAATAGGAAGATTTGGCTTTCACAAAAGAATTACTTGAAGAATATCTTGTCACGATTCAGCATGCAAGATTGTAAGCCAATTTCTACCTCTCTTCCTATTAACTTCAAATTTATCCTCCAATATGAATCCTAATAGTGAAGAAGAGAGGATGTAAATGTCTCGAGTACCGTATGCATCAGCAGTGGGAAGTTTAATGTTCGCTATGATATGCACAAGACCAGACATTGCACAAGCAGTGAGAGTGGTTAGTCGGTACATGGCGAATCCAGGCAAAGAGCATTGAAATACAGTAAAGAGGATCTTGAGATACATCAAAGGGACCTCAAATGTTGCATTATGTTATGGAGGATCAAATTTACTAATCAATGGGTATGTAGATTCTGACTATGCAGGGGATTTGGATAAAAAGCAAATCTACTACATGGTATGTGTTCAAAGTTGCTAGTGGAGCTGTAAGCTGGGTTTCAAAATTGCAGTCAGTTGTAGCTACGTCAACAACAGAAACAAAATATGTAGCAGCTACACAAGCCAGTAAATAAGCAATTTGGTTGAAGATGCTATTGGAGGAGCTTGTGCACAATCAAGAGTATGTCTCTTTGTTTTCTGACAGTCAAAGCGTCTTGCATCTAGCAAGGAATCAAACATTTCATTCAAGGACAAAGCACATACGAGTTCAGTACCATTTCATTCGTGAAAAGGTGGAAAAAGGGACGGTAAATATGCAGAAGATCCATACCAAAGACAACATAGCAGATTTCATGACGAAAACGATCAATGCTGATAAATTTACTTGGTGTTGATCCTCTTGTGGCCTGTCAGAAACGTAAGTAACATGATGGTACAAGATAGAAAGAATTGTTTGAAGATATGATTGTTCCAATCAAATCTTCAAGTGGGAGATTGTTGAAAGTTAGTGCAACTTGCATCGAAAGAAGCTAGCATTTATGCATCGAAAATGTGCACATTAAATGCACCGAAAATTGGTTGAAAAAATTAAATGGTAAAATCTCAATTTTTAGTCATTGTAATTTAGGGTATTTATAAATTAGTCCTTAAGCTTCAACTATAAATACCCTAGCTCATTTAGCTTCAAAACCATCCCAAAGCATTCTAGCTTTCTTCTAATACTAGAGAATTTAGAGAGCTTCTTGAGAGTTATTTTCTCCTTTTTATCAAGGGAGAATTATCATTGTTTTCTCCTTGGTAGATCGAGAGAAGTTGTAATTTATTTTCTTATAGTGAAATTCTTCTACCGTTGCCCGTGGTTTTTACCCTATATTATTTAGGGGGTTTTCACGTAACTTTGGTGTCTCTTTTATCTTCATTTTTTTATCAAATTATCAACTATGATTTTATTCAATCCGATAACCGTATTCCGTAACAGCAATTTCTTCCATTCGTTTTTGTTTTTTAGTTTTCATATTGGAATCTGAGTATCTGACGTGTTATAGCTTAAGAGAGATCTGTCTTTTCTCTCATAGATACAGAGTCATCCATCATACACCAGCATACACCTTGAATCCCACAAGATTATTTAATTTTTCACATAAAAATATGATTTTTTTTTTTAAATTTTCAAATACTGTTTGATTATTTTTAAGCACAACAGTACATATTAGAGACAAAATAATTTACTGAAGATTCAACCAACCCACTTCCCCATTCTCATTCATGAAATAAAACTTAAAACTTAAAGCTTTAAGTTTATTTTTGTTCTTTTCTCAACAACCCCAAGTTTCTTTTATTTGTTCTTCCTTGCATTTCCATTACCAGGACTCTTTCATGGATAGGGCAAGGAGGTTGGCTAACGGGGCAATCCTGAAACGCTTGGTGAATGAAGCCAAGCAATCACACAATGGTGAAATGAGCTGTAGATCACATGTTTTGTATAACCGAGAGCCAAATGATTGCACACATGAAAGATTTGGAATCAAAGAACAAGGTTTTCAAGTCTTTCATTGGGATGGGTTATTATAACACTCATGTTCCTCCTGTGATCTTGAGAAACATAATGGAGAATCCAGCTTGGTACACTCAATACACTCCTTGCCAAGCTGAGATATCTCAAGGGAGGCTTGAGTCTTTGCTTAATTACCAGACTATGATTACCAATCTCACCGGTTTGCCTATGTCGAATGCTTCGCTGCTCGATGAGGGAACTGCCGCTGCTGAGGCTATGGCCATGTGTAACAATATACTGAAAGGAAAGAAAAAGACTTTCATCATTGCTAATAATTGTCACCCTCAGACAATCGAGATTTGTAAGACTAGAGCCGATGGTTTTGATCTTAAAGTGGTTACTGCAGATCTTAAGGATATTGATTACAGTTCTGGTGATGTTTTTGGGGTTTTGGTTCAGTATCCTGGTACCGAGGGCGAGGTTTTGGACTATGGGGAGTTTGTTAAGAATGATCATGCTCAGGGTGTTAAGGTTGTCATGGCAACCGATTTGTTGGCATTGACAGTGTTGAAGCCCCCAGGTGAACTTGGAGCAGAAATTGTTGTTGGCTCGGCACAGAGGTTTGGTGTGCCGATGGGGTACGGTGGCCCTCATGCTGCATTTTTGGCTTCTTCCCAAGAGTATGAGAGGTTGATGCCGGGAAGAATCATCGGTGTTAGTGTTGATTCTTATGGGAAGCCTGCTTTGCGTATGGCAATGCAAACCAGGGAGCAACATATTCGCAGAGATAAAGCTACCAGTAACATATGTACAGCTCAAGTAAGAGACTCATCGTTAATGTGTGATTCATGTTCATAATACATAATTCTGTTTGTATTTGAATGAATTGTTTGATTCGATATACTGTTTCATCTAGGCATTACTAGCAAACATGGCTGCTATGTATGCGATTTATCATGGACCTGAGGGCTTAAAATCCATTGCACATCGTGTTCATGGTCTTGCTGAGGTGTTTGCTTCGGGACTGAAAAAACTTGGCACCGTGGAAGTCCAGGGCCTTCCCTTCTTTGGTACTGTGAAAGTTACATGTGCTGATGCCCACTCAATTGCTGATACTGCATACAATAGTGGGATTAACCTTCGGGTTGTTGATGCCAAAACCGTAAGTGTAATTTTGTCTATAGTTATTCAATCAATATATTATTATATATCGTGTGTGTAGACACCCGTTTTTGTCCGGGTCTTTTCTATCTAATTGTAATTATAATAATAATAATAATAATAATTATTATTATTATTATTATTATTATTATTATTATTATTATTATTATTATTATTATTATTATTATTATTATTATTATGCTTATTTATTGTTCTTAATATATTACAAATTTTTGCAGGCTCAAACCCGAAGCCCATCAGATACCAAGCCCGACCCAGAATTACAAGACTTGGAGCCCAGACCCGGTTCAGGCCCAATACCAATCCCAGATTGCATTTAGGGTTTTTAAACCCTAAATGCAGTTAACCCTAGCTCAGCCGCCGTTTGGTCTCCCAGCCGCCGCCGCTTGACATTCCAGCTTCTCAGCCGAGCTTCCCCTCGCCGCCGCCCCAACAGAGGAAAGGATGCCACGCCGCCGTTACTGTTCCGGCCCACTCCGATGGTCCAGCCGCCGTTCCCATGTCGCCAGTGTCATCCACAATGCAAAATATCACCCAAATCAGTCACAAATTAAATCAAATCCAAAACCCATTAAAATAATACCTAAAATCCCGATAAATCGGGAAAATTGTCCCCTATACATAGATATCATTATTCCTACCAAAAATCAAGGATAAATGAAGCAAAAAAATAGCATGCGAGGGAAAAAGGATTCGGGGGGTAGGAAATAAAAAATCCAGAGAGTTTCGAACCCAAAATAAAAAAAAAAGAAAAGAAAAGAGAGAAGAGGAGAGGATCTCACCACGGTTTGGAGGTCGAGAAGCCCGACGGTCGTCGGTTGTCAAAACTTTCGAAGGTAAAACTCTCAGATTTAGAGAGCTAGGGTTACCTTTAGGTCGAGATAGTTGGGGATCTAGGTGGAGAGTGAAGAGAGGAAGGTTTTGGAGGGTTTTCTCCATCTCCGGCCACCGTTCGCCGCCGCAAGCACCGCCGCGGGCGTAGCCGGCGGTGGACAAATCTCTTCTCCGTTGAGAAGGTTGAGAGAGTTTTCTCTCTCTCCCTCTCTCTGTTTTTAAGCAATGAAATAAATGAGGCATAGACCGAATTTTGGCCTGATTTTGGTCATTTATACGCGGACCAGAACGGCGTCGTTTAAGCCAAAGGGGTTTCCGTGTTTTCATATTAAGGGATAATCCCACTTTTAGTCCTTTCTGCTTTGTAACCTCACGGTTTAGTCATTAAATAAAATTATATTTATTTTATTTCGAGCCTTAATGTTTCAATATTGGTATTTTGGTCTGGTACTTGTTTGTTTTATTATTATTATTAATGTTGAACGTTGGCCATAGTATTTATAATTATTTCAATTTAGTCATTGGTTATGTGTTGTTTATTTCTTGTGAATGTTAGAATTTGGCCATGATATTTATGTTTCTTATATTTTAGTCACTGTTTGGTATTTGGTATAATTACTGTATGAATCTTTAAGTTTCTGTTTATTCTAAAATTGACCACTGATTTTGTTCTGTTTTATTGTAGCCATTGATTAATCTAGTTTCTCTATTTTATGTTTCTGATACTGTAGTTTCAATTTACACAGTTTAGTCACTTGTCTATAAAGCTTAGTTATTTTATTTTATTTTATTTGCGTTATGGTTTGCCATGTTTGCATGTTTACATTTTAACCCATGTTATATTATTATACTCATATTTTACTTTGGCCACAATGTTTGTATTAGTTTCATTTTAGTCACTGATTTTGTATGTTGTATATTTTGGCTGATGTTCAAATTTGACTCTAAGATTTGTAAATCTGTTTATTTTAGTCACTAGTTTGCATTCGGTTTAATTACTATTTTAGTCCCTACGTTTCTGTTTTTGCCATTTTAGTCTTTTAATTTTCTATTTTTCTGTTTTAGCCCTTTAATTTGTTATTACCATGTTAGTCATTGTAATTATTAAATACTTACTTTTTGACCATTATATTTTGGGTTGTAACATTCTTTTAATCCCCTATGTATGTACATTTTTCATGTTATGTATTTATTTGTACCATATGTAATTAAATATGCTTAATTTTATTTGTTGTAAATATTTATTTCACATATTTCTATTTCTATTTATTTCCATTTTTGTTTATTTAAATATTGTCCAAATACTTTTAAGAACACGTATGCGTAGAATGAGCGTGGAAAGTATCACTTGGTCGAAGTGGTGCGATCCGATATGGCATTTTAACGACATAGGAACTTGCAACAAGTCGAGTATATTTCACTAATTAATTTGTGCAAATGATGCAATGTGTGTTATTTTAAATAGTAATTTATTTTATTTTATGTAAATGTCAATTTCAAAATTTGCATTTGTATTCAATTCACATTTTTAGTTAATCAATTTATTTTGTTGTATGCAAACGTCAATTTTATTTATATTCGATTCACATTTTATCAAGAGGGAAATATTCTTTATGGATGAGAAATAGTCGAGTTAGCTTTCCCGATGAAGGATTGCTAATTTCGAGATTTCTTTTCGAGTTAAAGAATTTTCTCTAATTATTTAATTCGAAGCAAATTAATCAACGTTCGATAAATAGATCACATTTTAACTTTATATTCGACTCATAAATTCCACCATTTACAACGATGTGTAAGCGACACAGTACCAATTTTGGGCGTTGTGGGGGTGTTTACCCTTCCCCGCACGTAACCGACTCCCGAATCCATTTAAATGAATCTTTGGTAACGCAGACCGAATCTTGTCTTAAAAAATGATTTTTCTTAAAATTGTTTTAAAAGACGTTTTTAGGTATTCGACCTACCTAACCCAAAGGTTGCTGGCGACTCTTTTAATTTTATTCAAATCAATTCAAAATCACCCATTTTTTTCCAAAATTAAAGTCATAATCGTTTTTAAAATAATATTTAATTGTTTTACCTAAAAAAATGGTTATGACAGCTTGGTGACTCTGCTGGGGACCTCTTTTTTTTGAGAGTTAGGCTGTATGTCGTTTACATATTGTCATCTTGGTGGAAATTATGATTTCTAGTTTTTAGTTAATTTATGATCCATTTATTGAAGTTTTTAATTGCTTCATTTTTAATTATCATACTAACATTTTATCTTTTTTGCTTTCAGGCTCTGTCCAAGTTTTTGTCGAGTTTTTTCTTTTCATTTTGAGTCAAAGGTAGGTATGTTCCTCCTCACACACATCACTCGCATTGGCATAACATAAGCTCTATACACGAGCTTCGATCCAAATTAGTTGGGGTGAATGCTTTACTCTCGTAAGAATTTATTCTTCGTATGAGTTTTAGCAAATAACCCATGGGATACATACCTTATACCTTCGTAGGGATTTATTCCTCGTACGGGTATAAGACAGTGAATCCCCTCAAATTGAACTCGTTCCGTTTGAAACCTGTAATGGGTGAGGATCGAGGGTCTGGCAGCCCAAGGGGGCACCGACATCAAGGACAATTCGAGTCCCCTTTTTTTTCCGTTAGAGCTGAAACCAAGCATATAGTGAACCGTCGAACGATCACCCTAGGTAGAGTCATACCGAACCTTTGTCCGTCAGTAGGTACCCAAAATAGGTGTACACGAAGGAGGAACGATTCTAAACCTTAACCTTTTAAATTTGTAGAATATATTTTTTTTCCGAATAAAGCATGCGAACTAGATACCATGCGGTTAGGACCAATTTCTTGAAATAGATCATTTTGGGTAGATAGCATGTCCGGTAGGATTGTTATTAATTGAAAGCATGTTTGGGTAGATATCATGACGGGGTAGGTGTTATATCCATCTCTGAATTACATTTTTATTTGTATCAATTATTTTACATGTACTAACTTATTTTTCTCTTTTGTTTGTGTATACTAACTTATTTCCTCTCTTTTGTTTGTGTCATTTTGTCAATTGCATTGCATTGCATTGCATCATCATAATGCAAAAGTGTTGATCCGTAAGGGGATATTCGAGAGAATCACAAGAAGAGATAAAAGTTTTCAATCAAGCGATCGCATACACAGACATGCATCGAGGGCTAAAAAGAAGTCCAGAGTACAAGAATGAGATTTTCTCGAAGATCGTGCATCATTCGAGACTGATATGATAATCCACTGATCTAAGGAGTAATCCAGCAGTAGATTCTCATCCACAATTATTCCATCGTTAACCATCAGGGAGTGAAGCACAAATTTCAGCATAGCCGAGGTATTAATGGAGTTAGTTTATAGAGCATTGAGGGGCATCGGTTCCAAGTACAAAGATCCGAGACGAAGCAGTGAGCTCGAAGATCGTGCATCATTCAATACTGAGATGATGATCCACTGATTCAAGGAGTAATCTAGCAGTGGAGTCTTATCTACAATCATTTCATCGCTAGTTATCAAAGAGCGACACACCGACCTCATTACCACCGAGGCATTAACGGAGTCAGATTACAGAGCGCTTGAGGGGCATCATTATTGAGGACGAAGATCCGAGATGAAGCAGTGATCCACTTCAGACTCAACCATCTAAGCGAAAGCATGTCTGTAAAGTGGACTGTCTTGTAATGTGAAAACTTTTATTTCTGGTGAAGACTATTCTACGATATTCATCGTTGGGATCAACATTTTTGCATCTTCATTTGCATCTTTGCATTTTAAGCATATGTATTTTATTTTTAAGCATTTTCATATGCATCATTCATAAAAACATGGGATCAATTTGGGGAGAAGTCAGTGGAAGTGATCCTGATCACGTGACCATATTGAGAATATAAGCAAGAAGCTGAAATCAACACGATAGAAGCTTGTTCGATTGAGTCTTCCAGGATGGTTCGAGAAAAGAGTCATCGTTCCCTGAGGTCTACGATGTTGATTCAGTACACAATTTCCACCTAAGAAGCTCCAGACATTCCACTGAGAACTGCAAGGCACTAAAGCACAAAATCCATAATCTGATTTATTCAGGGGTATCCTAATACTAAGCCAGATAAGTCATTGCATCAACCA